GCCACAGATCTACAGTTCTGATGTTTCTAAAAGATTATTTTTAAGTTGTAATTTATCATTTGTAAATATTATGCTGCATTAATTTTGTTACACAAAGGCTTCTCTCTAAGACAGCAGGTGACAAACATCTAGCTTTTATAATACTCAAGGTTGAACAAACCACTTAAATTTTATTTCAAACATGAAGAAGGTAACAAACTGAACCTCTCATTTCTGAACACACTCATAATTATTAAGAACATTACAAAACAAAACTACGGTAATGGTAATTTTTCATATTTTATCTTGCCAGGTTCCCAATATTATGTAGCTAAAGTTTATCACATACTGCATGAAAATGTAGGTACCAGTAAGCACTGTACCTAGTGAAGAGTACAATATTTATATAAAATTTTCAAATAAATGCATGATCTGCAATTTTTCCTTTAAATATGATTTAGTTAAAATCATGTGTATCAGTTTTGTATGGAGTACATAATATATTCCAGCCTGCATTAAGAATATATTTAAAAAATCAAAATTTAGATTTTTTTTCATCTGCACTTTTGTTCCTTATGTGTTTGTCAAATATTGCAGAGGCAGTTGGCTACTTGTATATAATATATTCATAAGGTGTTAATGTTGATGACAATGAAAGAATTTTTATTAAGTCAAGGTTTACTGAAGTCATCTACTTCCATGAGCCAGTGGAAATATCTGACTCTCACAATTAAGTCATAGTAATGTTTACAGTGGATGAGCTTCATGTGATCTGTGTGCATTGGTGTTTATAATTACACAATACAGTATTATGGACCATCTTGGTCAGCTTTGTGTGTTGCTACAATAAATTTGGAAGTGCAAGTGCTTCTTTTTATTTCCAGGGCAGGCAGATAAATAATTTGTGTAATATACTTAAAATATTTAACTAAACCCCAATAATATGCGAATTCTAAATTACAACAAATCTCACGTTACGAAGTCTACCTAGAACTTTTAGTTACATTATTATAATTATGGGTAAGTGCTAAACCCTTAGGGATTATACAGTGCCTGGGAGGGGGAAATGGAAGGTATTCAGGCTCAATTCAGGGAACTGGAGCACAGATCCAATTTCATAGATCAAGAGCCTCTCACCAGCATCAACTAACCTTCCCTGAGGGGTCTTTTAGTTACAGGAACACTAGGTACCATATTCTCCACATATGCACATACAATACCTCATGTTGAAAATGGCACCAAGATTTTTTTTATTATTATTATCACACTGGCCGATTCCCACCAAGGCAGGGTGGCCCGAAAAAGAAAAAATTTCATCATCATTCACTCCATCACTGTCTTGCCAGAAGGGTGCTTTACACTACAGTTTTTAAACTGCAACATTAACACCCCTTCTTCAGAGTGCAGGCACTGTACTTCCCATCTCCAGGACTCAAGTCCGGCCTGCCGGTTTCCCTGAACCCCTTCATAAATGTTACTTTGCTCACACTCCAACAGCACATCAAGTATTAAAAACCATTTGTCTCCATTCACTCCTATCAAACACGCTCACGCATGCCTGCTGGAAGTCCAAGCCCCTCGCACACAAAACCTCCTTTACCCCCTCCTCCAACCTTTCCTAGGCCGACCCCTACCCCGCCTTCCTTCCACTACAGACTAATACACTCTTGAAGTCATTCTGTTTCGCTCCATTCTCTCTACATGTCCGAACCACCTCAACAACCCTTCCTCAGCCCTCTGGACAACAGTTTTGGTAATCCCGCACCTCCTCCTAACTTCCAAACTACGAATTCTCTGCATTATATTCACACCACACATTGCCCTCAGACATGACATCTCCACTGCCTCCAGCCTTCTCCTCGCTGCAACATTCATCACCCATGCTTCACACCCATATAAGAGCGTGGTAAAACTATACTCTCATACATTCCCCTCTTTGCCTCCAAGGACAAAGTTCTTTGTCTCCACAGACTCCTAAGTGCACCACTCACTCTTTTCCCCTCATCAATTCTATGATTCACCTCATCTTTCATAGACCCATCCGCTGACACGTCCACTCCCAAATATCTGAATACATTCACCTCCTCCATACTCTCTCCCTCCAATCTGATATTCAATCTTTCATCACCTAATCTTTTTGTTATCCTCATAACCTTACTCTTTCCTGTATTCACCTTTAATTTCTTCTTTTGCACACCCTACCAAATTCAATCCACCAATCTCTGCAACTTCTCTTCAGAATCTCCCAAGAGCACAGTGTCATCAGCAAAGAGCAGCTGTGACAACTCCCACTTTGTGTGTGATTCTTTATCTTTTAACTCCACGCCTCTTACCAAGACCCTCGCATTTACTTCTCTTACAACCCCATCTATAAATATATTAAACAACCACGGTGACATCACACATCCTTGTCTAAGGCCTACTTTTACTGGGAAATAATTTCCCTCTTTCCTACATACTCTAACTTGAGCCTCACTATCCTCGTAAAAACTCTTCACTGCTTTCAGTAACCTACCTCCTACACCATACACTTGCAACATCTGCCACATTGCCCCCCTATCCACCCTGTCATATGCCTTTTCCAAATCCATAAATGCCACAAAGACCTCTTAAGCCTTATCTAAATACTGTTCACTTATATGTTTCACTGTAAACACCTGGTCCACACACCCACCACCACTACTACCATTATGCTCATAAAATATGTCAGATTCACATGGGTCATAAATGGCAAAATAGTAACCAGTAATACTTCAAGCCCTAGACAGTAGGTTAGTAGACAGCAACTACCCAGGGATGTACTTCCATCCTGCAAAGTGAGTGTGAAATGAAAACCTGTAATTGTTTTACATGATGGTAGGACTAGTGGTGTCCTTTCTGTCTCATAAACATGCAGGATAATAGATATATCTCTTGCTACTTTTACTTACCTTTAGGTTACACTACACATGCATGTACATCTGGGTTTTCTTCTATTTTCTTAATAGTTCTTGTTCTTTATTTCCTCTTACCTTCATGGGTAAATGGAAAAGAATTCCTCCTCCATAAGCCATGTGTGTTGTAAGAGGTGACTAAAATGCTGGGAGCAAGGGGCTAGTAACCCCTTCTCTTGATAAATTACTAAATTTTAACGTTTTAGGTCACCCTGACACTGTGGGATACTGCCGGCGTGTTGACAAAAAAAAAATAATACTGCAAGCAGGTTTTTCACCAGGAAAGACAGAAAGCCCCAAGGCCCCCTGGGGGCCAGACAAATGTAATCTTTGATAATGAGTAGCATCTGATTCAGTAAGTGAGTGTGGAAGCAGAATGAGTGTGTTCCTCATAGCCTAGACTATGCAGTCAACAGGTATAGGCTGTTCTTGAAAAGAAGCCAAGTGATGTGCAATTATATAATTAAAACTTCCTAAATAATGCTAACAAGGAAGTATTCCACCTTGTAGACCTCTTAAGGGTTTGATGCCAGTGAGAGGTTCATGATCCAAGGAATGGGACACATCCTCCCATTCTTTGGAGTGAACCTGATTGCTTCCCAATCCCCAGGCACTGAATAATTATAATCTCTACAAGTTTAAAGCTTCCCCATGACAATGATAAACATCACCTTGTAGAAAACTTCTTGAACAATACATTAAGAATCAGCTACTAAGCTGCCAAACAGAAAAAGAGCACACACTGTACTTTGAACCGCGAGATTACCAATACATCAGCTAGACATGGGTGGATAACCAACACTATCCATCAGTGGTTTCAGTGATACTGGAACCACTGATGGATAGATGGAAATATTCCATATTAGTGGTGACATACCTGTCACCTGTTTTTAGTGTTCTAATCTTGCAGCAGCCTGGCTTAAGGCTAGACTTCCAGGTCTACCAGGATGTTGATGCGAGTAGTTGGAAAGCCTACACAGCCATCACAACCTGGCAGATCAGGCACCTGCAGCGACTAAAAGCTTGTTCTGCAAACATGACTTTCTTTAAAATTGTCAGCATTATGCTATTGGGATTCAATCAAAGAATGAGATTAGGAGGAAGAGTTGGGAAGGTAGAGAAATCTTATACAGCCCATGAACTGACTGACTTCAATTCCAATGTAAGTACACAACCTGACATTAACTCACTGAAACATGTTCGTCACAGCTGGAAAGTGCTAAACCCATAAGGGTCATACAGCACTGCATGGCAGAGGGGAGAAAAGTGGAAGAGTGGTACATGTAGATGTGAAGGTGCCAAGGAAACAACATCTGCTCAAAGCATGGGAGTTACAGCTAATGATGAAAATTGCCATCTGTTAAGACGTCAAAGAGAGAGTCTACACCATCACATCTTTTATATATTCTGTTAAATTAATTCACATTGTAAATTATGTATGAAAAACTTATTTATCAGGTAACTTAATACAGTAGGACCCCCATTTCTGCAGGGGATATGTTCCTAGGACCTGCCATGGATACCAAAACTATAGATAGTAGCAAACCCTGTATATGTCCTATACATACCTATTATAAGGTTGTTTGATAAATTATGCACGCAATGCAGAGAATTATCACTTTTTCACTGATAGGAAACACTACATGGCTTCTCTTAGGCTTTGAAGAACTGCCAGGTTCTCTACTTTTACATTTGGGGCCACTATTATGCAAAATTAAAAGGTATTTTTGGGCCACAGAAAACTGTGGATAACTGAAAACATGGATACCGAATCAGTGGATACGGGGATTCTACTGTACTTTTCTTTTACTACCCAAATAAGTTGAAATTTCACATACCTACTCAGAATGTTATTCAATTACTGATAGTATCATCTTCAGATTTGAGCTAATTCATGACATGGTTTGGCATCTAGTGACATCATTTATAACACAGGTATAACTTATGATGCAGCCAGCAGGGTGCTGGCTGCACCAAATGTGGGGGCATATAAAGGCAACACGAATCTAAAATCACAAAGTTCTTCATATAGGGAACCAAACCCAACTCCAGGACTATGTAAGCTTAGGGACAAGTGACAAACATAACTGTCAAGTTTCTTTTAATCTTAACTTTAAACATAGTCATCTACAACATCAAACCTAATTGGAGCATCTATTCATATGAGACTTGTTATACTCTTCCATTTTCCTACACTGCTAACTTTCCAATGGTAATTAATAAAAACATCAGTAATTTCTTATTTTTAATTTATAAACAATGTTTATAAATAGAATATATTCAATTTATAAACATTGTTTCTTCTCATAAACTCAAGAAAATATATTATTTATGTACATAAAGTATTTGAAATTTAACCACAGTGAATGATAATTAAATTTTAAGTACTTTCATTATCTCTCAATCACAGTCTTAAGGAGGCTTGAGAAAGTGATTGCAGGTTCACAAATGCACTTAGAATTTAACTGCTATTCTGTGGCTAAATTAAGATAGTGCATCACTTGTTTCTTGTGATCTTATTGTATGTGAATATTTAGGAGAAAAACTACTGTAACTACCAACTCAGCCCAATCATGTATATGACAACAGTCCAATCATACAAATGCTAATGAAATAAACAAAATATTTACATGTTACAACCATCAACAGTTATTTAAGGCTTTAAAATAAATATGGTAAATTATTAATTGTTACCCCCTTGTCCAGCGCCACCATGCAACTACCATCCTATCCCAGATATTTTCAAATGAGTCTGCAGCTGGTCGAACATCTAAGATAGCAAATCTGTAGTCCTTACGATTAACCTCTCCACCATCATAGTAGTCAATGACATATCGTATATCCTTACCACATCGATCTACAATCCAATCATGTCGATCAAAAGGCATTCATACCTGTGGAAAAAATAGAAATAATTCAGAATTACTGACACATTAAAATGATGACTAAATGAGGAAAAAAGAGAGGTAAATGAATTACAAGTTTTCTCCTCAGCAATGGTTTATCTGCGACCAGCTTAGTTATTTCTTTTAGTTTTGCAGACAGGCTTCCCTACTGACAGCCTGATCAGTCAAGCTATTGCTTGTTAATGTAAATAAACCTTATGCAGTTCATAGGGTCAAGACCCCTGATCTCAAACTTGCTCTCAGGGTCGAAGAATTTAAAAAAAAAAAATATTTTATCTTACGAAATGACAGAATTTTTTCCAAAGGTAATGAAACCAAAAGTACAAAATCTGATGGAAAACTCACAGAATTGGTCTCAGCAACACTTATGCATCGGCAATTTCGCCCACTTTGTGCCCTACTTTTCGGCCAATTCCATTACTCCAGTCGACTAAACTCATAGCTATTTCACTAGTATTCCTTCTATTCTATCAATTGAGTACAAGAAACTGCCCATTTACCTATTTCAACTATCCAATAAAGTGATCAGAAATTGGCAGTTTGGCCAATTTCACACAAAATTCAAAAACTGCCAATTTAAAAATAAAGTCCAGAATAAACAATGTAGACATTCCTAGCACTAAAAAAAAATTTCCTCTCCTCTTTAGTCACGTCTCCAGGCCACTCTTATATTATGCTTGCTTTCCATTTTGATTTTTTCAAACAAATTGGCCGTATCTATCCCACTGAGGCAGGGTGACCTATAAAAGAAAAAACAAAGTTTCTCTTTTTAAATTTAGTAATGTATACAGGAGAAAGGATGACTAGCCCCTTGCTCCCGGCATTTTAATCACCTCTTACGACACGCATGGCTTACGGAAGAAGAATTCTTTTCCACTTCCCATGGAGATAAGAGGAAATATAGAAGAACAAGAACTATTAAGAAAATAGATGAAAACCCAGATGGGTGTGTGTATATATATACATGTACATGCATGTGTAGTGTGATCTGAATATAAGCAAGAGTAGCAAGATATACCCGTTATCCCATGTGTTTGAGACAGAAAAAAGACACCAGTAATCCTGCCATCATGTAAAATAATTACAGGTTTCTGCTTCACACTTGCTTGGCAGGATGGTAGTACCTCCCTGGGCAGCTGCTGTCTACTAACCTACTACCTAGGATTTTGAATTTTTCTTCACACAAAAAATAGAAGATTTACTGCATTATTGTAATAACTGTATAAATAATGTCAGTGCATTCCTAAATGCATATTAGACTCACAAACTGGATGTGTACTCTGGAATATCGGCAAACATCAAACATTTCCACTACTTTGAGCCCAATTTCAAGCTACTTTCAGTCCTGAAATTAATAAAAATCATCTCTATTTCTTCTAGGTAGTAGGCTGGTAGACAGCAACCGCCCAGGGAGGTACTACCGTCCTGCCAAGTGAGTGTACAACTGAAAACCTGTAATTGTTTTACATGATGGTAGGATTGCTGGTGTCTTTTGTCTGTCTCATAAACATGCAAGATTTCAGGTATGTCTTGCTACTTCTACTTGCACTTAGGTACACTACACATACATGTTCAAGCATATATATACACACCCCTCTGGGTATTCTTCTATTTTCTTTCTAGTTCTTGTTCTTGTTTATTTCCTCTTATCTCCATGGGGAAGTGGAACAGAATTCTTCCTCCGTAAGCCATGCATGTTGTAAGAGGCGACTAAAATGCCGGGAGCAAGGGGCTAGTAACCCCTTCTCCCGTATAAATTACTAAATTTAAAAGAGAAACTTTGTTTTTCTTTTTGGGCCACCCTGCCTTGGTGGGATACGGCCGGTGTGTTGAAAGAAAGAAGAAAGATCTCTATTTCTGATATCTTCCATTGTATCAAATGAGATCAAGAAACTGAAAATACAACCATAAAAAACATACAAAAATACACCACAGTCGCTGTTCTAAACCAAAAACACAGTCGCATTTTTTCTCATTATGCACTGCATGCTGTAGGATTTTTTATATGGTGCACACTTACTACATAGACCTATTCTCTCATATCTAGGCCTAAATTTGCCGCTTACAGCTTATTTAAGTGGGCTGAGCTCATGGCATTGTACTATGGGACCAACACTGGCTTCAAAACCAGTATCAGTCAATATTACTGGAGATTCCTCCAACCCTTCCCTTGTGCTGTTGATACTTAAACATCTACACTCTAGCCCTGTCCTCTACTTTCCACTGGCAATGGTGATACCTTCAGACATGTCCTCCACCTTTTCCCTGGTGTTGGTGATACTACCAAACCTGTCTTCTGCCTTTCCCTTCTGTTTATACCTCCAGACCTATCCTCCACTGTTCCTTGGTGCTGCTGGTACCTCCAGACCTGTCCTTCAGCTCCCTCTTGACATTATTAATGCCCCCCAGATCTTTTCCACACATCTGATGCCACTGATATATTTAGACCTGCCTTTCACCTTGTTCATCACAAAAAGTGCCAGATCCATTACCCACTTTCCTTGGTGTTACTGATATATACAAACCTGTCATTATAAAGACTCTCAAATCTGTCTGCCACTTTCTTTGATGCTACTGATACATCAAGATGTAACAAACCCCCCACCCTGTTTAACTTGTATCATATTTTAATTAATACAGTAACTTCATTAAAAGTCATAAGTTTGGGCACTTTTACTCTACATTAATGCTTTTTAACCATGTATACAGTAGCTTAATTTCAGTAGAAAATTTGGAATTTCCTAAAGTAATGGCAATCAGCAAGATAAATACTGAATTATCAACTTAACAGATTTTGGGCACCAATGTCCCATACTCTATTTATGGCCAAGGACAAAAAGAATATAATAATTATATAGAAATGAACATTTAGGAAGCTCACCCCATCCAGCTCCTGATACGGGCTCTTGGAGAATAATCTGAAGCCTTTCCACCAAACCGTTTCAGTCTAGGATTCCCACATTCATTTTTGTGCAGAGATTCCCATTTCAACACCTGCAAGAGTGAGTATGCTTATTTACTATTAATGCATTATTTTAGTCTTTACATTTAACATAGCTGCTTTTAACCCATAAGCAGAAAGTCAAGCAGTT